CCTATTTATTAAATAACACATTAAAAAACTGCAGCTTATCAGAAAACGAGTTGAGCTATTTTAGGTCAGCGGAAGTTGTCCGATTGCCCGATTTTTTAAACGGTTACGTAACTCGGTCATTTGTTGGGACAAAACGTGGCGCACTCATAATTGACAAAAAAAACTTAATCATTCAGCAATTAATGACAATACTGTTTTTATTGCGCCCGTTTGCTTTTATGAAGTACTTTCCAGCCTTATGCAGGTCTCTTTAAAAAAAAATCGAGAGCGCTCCCGAAATAGACTTAATTCTAAGAACAAAAAATAAGTTTTCGCTATGAATAATTTAAAATAAAACATGATCGCTTTAGAATGCTCATTTTTGGTATTGGACGATAAGTAGCCGTCCATGTAAAAAAATATATGCTATTATTATAATTGTTGATTTTTTACTAATCGACGATAATAAAATCAGAATTAAATCGTTTCACAAAAATTTGAAAAAATATAGAGTGGGGGAAGAATGTTTATCATACAATTTTCATGGAAAAGCTTTTTTCGAATATCTTAAATTGGTTTAAAATTCAAATACACAAATTAGTGGCAATTATGGTCAAATGAGCGGTAAAAATGTTCATCATACAATTTCATATATGAATATTGTAAGACATACATTTTTTTTCACAGAAAAAAAAAACAATTTTGAGATAAAAAACTTTCTATCTCTTTTTTGATTGCAACACTTCGCTTCTGTGCTGAAATAAAAATTTTGCGAAAAACATCCAACATCCAGGTAAGCAATGATTAGCATAGGACCATGCTTTGTATTGCTACATTCATTATGAAAATCAAGAATTAGATAATCAAATGGTTGTTTTCCCAAACTGATTTGATTTTAGACAAAAAAAAAGTTTGTGCCAAACTTGCTATAAATTTTAAAAGAATAATTTTCATTTAGATTTGAAGTTTTGCGCAAAATTGTTCCGCAAAAAAGACCTTTTCAGTCCATAAAATTTACACCAAAATTATCACTTGAGATTTTAACAAAACTATAACAAAGTATAGCCTTTTAAATCTTATGTGCTCTAACACAGTATAAAAAAGATACAACTTTCAAAACTCAGCTCAAAATGTATATTAACTAGTTTTGGTTAGAGACTTGGTTATTTATATGATAAATATGACATTTTTTTGCTATCAAAAGAAAATTTATTTTTGTGCTTTTCTTAGATTTCGTTGGGCTACACAGGTGGCTCATTTTTATTATAGTTTTGTCAGCAATTGAAATGAAAAATTCGGCGCAATTCTTATTTATTCGAAAAAAGCACAAAACAGCAGTTTGTGGGTAAGGCCCCGATTCTGCAAAATAAATTGTATCGTGACAATTTTGCTAAAAATTTTAGCAAGTTCTGTCTTCATTTTTTTGTCAAAGTTATACCCAATTTGCGAAAACCGCAAATTTGTTTCTTTTCTCCAAATAATTTAAATCAGCACTGTTGCTGAGAAAAAATGTCTTAGTTATATTTCAGTTCGGTTTTCAATTTGAGAGCAAGAGCAAAGAACTGAGGAAAAACAACTGCCAATTTCGTTTGATAAAAAAACTTATTTTCAATGTAAAGAATGTCTTAAACCAAAAAATGGAGCGTAATTACTTGAAAATCCTTGGTGCTCCTCGTAAAAACGACATGAAATTGAGAAAAAGTAGACGTTTTTATTAGGTTGTTTTTTCTCAAATATATAACTTTTTGAACCTTCTGCACTACTTTAATGGCATCTGTTTATTATCATTTCAGGAAATGAGTCTGCGCATATGCGGTTTTTGAAAAGGTTTTCATTTCTACGTATTATAACGCATATAAATAAATTTTTACAGAGTGAAATGCAAATTGTTGATTTTTAAAATACAATATGAACTATTAATGTAACAGATGCTGGAAACGTTTCCCGCCAGTTTTCTGAAATTTTTTAATGCATTTGCAAATGAACGCTATGTTCAGAAAACTTGAACCCATGTGACTCTAACTGACGCAAAAGTTTTCCATGCAAATTATCATTCTGGCATCTGTCCGAGATTTATGGCGGGGAGTCGATGCACATTCAAAACTCCAAAAGCAGTATTCTATGGGGTTCAATTCTGGGTTTCGGGTGGACCGAAAAAAGATTTGGGATCTGATCACAGGTTTTTGATAACCTTCGGCAGTTGCTGATTTGACAAATTGCATCAAAAACTTTTACCGTAGAGTGACCAGGTTCAAATTTTAGCAGCTATAGCATGATAAATGTTACAAGAATGCCGGGACTTGTTTCCGGAATCTGTTACGACAATGTGTCTCATAGGGTATAAAACTGCAGATCGTAAAATTGGACCAAAAACTATCTTTTGCTAATTTTCCAGAAAAAAGCTCGGATCAGTAGCCCTGGAACCTTTTTAAAAAATGTTGCGTCTTGTCCAATGAAGTACTATTGTATGATAACTAAATTGGCAATGTTGGAAAAACTAAACTGGAACCTGATCTAAACTACATTTTATGATTGGATAAATTAGATATTTTACCACTGTAAAGTATTTAATATTAACCAATCATGATCCATCTAACTAACAACCCACTTATTTGTAAGTGCTGAAATTACTTGTAATTTCAGCACCAGAGAGATTTGAATTTAACTTAGAAATTAGTTGCCTCTCCAAGAGAACTTCAGCAGCCGCAATAAACCAGTATACCCTAGATCTATTGAGCCTAGCAGAGACTAGTTAAACAACCTGAGACTAGAATAGTATAAGAGTAAGATTAGGATCGGTATTAGACTAAGAAGTTGCACGAATCTATCCGGCCGAAAATAAGATAGCGTGACGAGCAGACGGTGTACCCTATCCGAAATTACTCTATGAGTTAAGACCATCGGTTATAACTCATCTGGTGCGACCATAAGTCTCGAACAAGACCTTAATAGCATAGAATTAACCAAAAATAGATTAGAATTTAGACAAAACATTTTTAAAATGTTACACGACGATAATTTAATCGAAATGTCTCTACGACTCAATAGATCAGAGCCAATATTCCGAACGATAATAGAACTACCCGGAATTGGAAGAAGACCTCGAACCAGAGACGACATACGACAAAGTAGAAACTTACCAAATAGTTATATGATAGTACGGCAAAAGCCAACACAAACTTTTATATTTAGAATTTTATTAGCAATGAATTTAGATTTTCATTTGCAAACTTAAATCTTGAAGTCAATCTTCATGATCATTTCAGGCGCTGAACAAAAATATTAATATACAATAACGATTGATAAAAAGATCTCAGATCGTTTTTCTAAAATTCTGCAGTATTCTATAAAACATGTTTGGAAAATATTTATTGAAAATCAAAACAAAAATTAGTAGCATGACAATAAACTGTTAGTAATCATAAAATCATCAGTTGTCCCAGCTTCATCACCTAAAACATAACAGCAATCATAAGCTCACTAATATCATTAAAATACTAAATCTTTTCTTAAATAAATTTAAACCATTTTAAACTTAAATTCACTTAATTTTAAAATCAGATCATCAAGGCTTATCCTTGGATCTTAATTAATTTTCAATTTAAATTTAAAAAAAAAAAAAAAAAAACTTGATCATCAAGGCCTATCCTTGGATCAAAAAGAATAATTTTGTTCTCCCCCACCCACTTAGCTAGTGTCTAACGACCTCAAACGTCAATTCACTATCCAACCCTTTCAAAAAACCCAAGACTAATAGAAATTTTTGAACAAAACTAATCATTCAAATTAGGATAAACAGTGAAGAACTTCGGTTATTCATCCTTCACTTCAAAACCTCCTCTTACCAGACCCAGGATAAATCTTAGACTTAGTAAGTTTAAAATAGTATCTAACGAACTACTCGCGTTCTAATTATACCTGAACCTTGTGGATCGATTTACTAT